GGGGACATCCGAGTGGCCATGGCTGAATGCATTGAGTATCGCGCATACAGTGTAGTGTGTGCATGCTGCACAAATTCACTAGAAGCCATCAATCCGCCACACAAACCATCCGCCACACGTGCAGCCCACCCCTACATCAGCCCACACACATACACACGCACACACACACATGCATCTCATCTGCCCATGTCATGTCTCCACATGCACTCACGCACGACGTGTGTCCATCCATCCATCCAAGCCCGCAATGCACGTCGGACGGACGGACGGACGGACAACATCAAGTCAACTTAGTCACTGTACAGGATTGCAGTAGTGGCTGGGCTGCCTCCCTGCTCGCTCGCTGGCTGCGATCTGATCTGTGTATGTCATGTCTGTGTGTCATAGCTATGTGTAGGTATCGACTACTCTCCGCCGCCCCGCCTGTACGTATCTCCTCAATACGTCCGCCCGAGCTTGGAGAAGCTGACACAAGAATCACACACGAACGAACAGTGAGGTGCCTTGCCTCGTTGGTTGTGTGTATGCTATGTGTGTCTGTGGGCTGTGCTGTGCTGTACCCGATGGTGGCGCAGAGGACGCAGAATAGGTTGAAGGCGAAGTGCGAGAAGACGCCCAGCAGGAAATACTTGTACCCGTCGTCTCGATAGGCCTTCTGCTCGCCCAGCGGATCCTGCACACAACACAACACAACACACACACGCCACCTTGGCCGACTGGATAGGATAGTGTGTCTCTGTGCAGTGCATGTGACGTACGTACTTGCATCCAGTAGAAGAATAGCGGGTGTGGGCTTGAGATGCCGTAGACGGCCTCGGCCTCCTGCACCGCCAGTCGGTAGAACGGACGGTCCTCATCCTGCGCACACAACACAAACCAAGAGCCAATGCACAGACAGACAGACACACGCCCACTTCATGTTATCGGCCCACCCCTTCCAACAGAACGAGCCTTACGTGCATCAGTCGGAGTCCGTTGCGCGCTCGGGCGTTGGCGTACTCGCCGCACCGGAAATCGGCACTGAGGGGGAGAGCACAGCCACAGACAGATCGATGCAAAGGCGTATCTCACAGATTAGACAGCCGTGCGCTGCAGGTTATGCTCACCGGTCGGCGCAGCAGTTTTTGCCAACGGCCCAGAAGTCATATGTGGTCATCGCAGCACCAGCCTACACCACACACAGGGGTCCGAATGGCTGGCCATCCATGGCGACCCACACACCGCACAGGTGGTAGCTAGCTTGCCTTGATGATGGGTGCGACGCAGTAGAGGTCGCCGTTTTTGAACCCCACAGACCTGGTGGTGTCGATCTGGGAGCCTGCCGTGAAATACACCTGGTGGCCATCCACACATGAACGAGTACATGCGACGGACAGCGGCAATCTGCCGCTGCTATTACCTTTCCCGCATCCATGAGTGCCTGCCCCTTGTCGAGCTCAGGCTTGACGTCTTCATATACCTGCATACAGACACACCACACAAACGTGTTCCCCCCCACTGGCTGGTTTGTCTGTCTGTCTGCGTGTGTAGGTAAGCTACCTGCAGGTTGTTGATGTCGTAGTAAGGCGCCAGGTTGGATCTGTAGTTGATGTCGCCGAGGATCACCGCTATGAGCACCGCAACTGCCATCGCTACCGTAGCGAACGTATACCACATCGGGTCTCGCTCGCGACGCTTCGACTGAATCGCCGTGACTGACAATAAAAAATCGTCAAGGAGGCACACATCGCATCGACCGACACCCATAAAAGGCCCATGGCGAGTGGAGTGCGTCTGGTCTTCATTCTCTGCGTGTGTACGTACATCCGACGAGGAGCACCATCAGCACCGCAATGCCTGACGGACGGACGGACGGACGGTCGGACGGGCAAAAAAGGCGGCGGTCAGCACAGTGAATGCGTCTTGACTTGTGTGTGTGTGTATGTGTGGTGGTGTTGTGCACTGCACCTACCGACGAGGAACCAGGCCCACCCCGGGTGTTTGTAGTGGAAGTCAAACGACAGGGTGGCAAACACACCTGCATTGCATCCACACATACACATGCTGTGGATCAACCATGCATTGCATTCGTCTGCCTCTGACTGATCGGCCGTACAGATGAATAGTATCCAGGGCACAAAGATGTTGAGGCATATCGCCACTATATTCATACGACGCCGCTTCCCTGCACACACAACACACAACACTCCGGACGATGGATGGCCGCAAGCTGGTTGTGTGGCTGCACCTGGCGTGAAGAGGCCGCGCTTGGCCGTGCCGCCGCCGCCGCCCAGCATGATAGCGATGGATGGATCAGATGGTCAGGGCAACGGCACCACTCCACAGGAGACCAGCACGGCGCACCAATACCACCTTCTGCAGTAAGATCTGCCACTCCAATGGACCAGTGAGGTCCTTCCCGCCTATTTCTTGCCGCCTTTGCCCTCCTTCCTTTTCAATCCCTCTGACGGATTTACGAGCGATCGCGAGCTTAAACGAACTGCCCCAGAATGAAGATCTTGTTGCTATCGGTTCCAGTGGTGTCCGGCGATGATCTGAGTGTGCTGCATCTCGCCCCTCCAAGACCAGCAAAGGTGGCGCCTTCACCTGCATTCGCTCCCCTGCAGCGGCTGCCGCGGCGCAAGACGCCCTTCAGAGGTGCCCGAGTCCTGCCTCCATCCTCCCGGCATCCCCTGACAATGCAGCGAGAGGTCATCGATGGAAGCCACCTGTGGGACTTCGACTGCGAGCCAACAGCAGCAACGACGAAGAGGCGGCGGGGAGGTCCACGCAGATCTGGCGGTGTTGGTAGTGCAGGGCAACGGGACTACAACAGGATGGTGGATGTGGTCAGCGCACTAGAAGTGGCTGAGGAGGGGATTGCGGAGGAAGGAGATGATCATGATGATGCCACTGCCGAGGAGGAGGAGGAGGGCGAGTCTGACTTTGAGGATTATGTGGGCGATCCGACGACGACAGCTGAGCTGGGACGGATGCTGGACGAGCTCGACACTCAGACATACCTGCAGACAGATGAAGGTGGGGCCTGGCGTGTTTGTGCGAAGATGCACATTGGCAGTGGTTCATGTGCTGGCTGCTATGTTCAGACATGGACGAAGCGACGCAGATCTACTTCAGAAAGCTGCTTGAGTCGGAGGGGCGGCGGCTCGATGAGGAGGCGGCCGATGAGGAAGATGAGATGAGTGACACCCCTGTCAACATGGCGAGGGAGCAGTACAAGCTCTGGTCGCACCTCAACTTCATGCTGGGCGACAACAGGGAAGTCGGTAAGCTAAGCAGCCCAGCCACAGACACACGCGAAGGAAGACACATCGGGCGGGCAAGGCATCTCATCTGTGGGCCATGTCATGTCATGTAGGTTGGAAGTCATCGATAGAGGATACAATCAGGCAGGAGGTTGAGGGTGCTGGGTTCGGCCTACACAACATAGCCTGGGGCGGCAAGGGCGTCATGGTCGAAGTACAAGACGGAGAATTCCTGGTCAGTGCCAGGGGGGATGCAAACAACCACACCGCACCACCTCTTCATTGCACCTGTTGTCCTCTCTGTGTGTGTGCAGGAGGTGACCGACCAGTCGCTGGAGACCTGCCATCGGCGGACCTACACGGCCCTCCAGCTGCTGGACGACAAGAGCAGCTTCGGGTTCCTCGACAAAATGGACCTCACCTTCGCCAGTGTGGGCGTGTCGGACGTCATCGACACCGACAAGGCATTCAACGCTCTCAGGTGACCAGCAGGGCTGCCACACACACATACACCGATGAATAGACAGACAGCGGACAACATCCGGAGTACCCCATGTGTTTGTTGCGTTGCGTGTAGGGGTTTCGTTGTGGACGTCAAGCTCTTTGAAGAGCACAAGGGCAAGCTCATCCACACGGTGAGGCGGCTCGCACATCGATCTCCCTGACGGTCGCTTGACTTGCCCTCTGTTCTCTTCACTCGTGCCCTGCAGGGTCGGCTTCAAGAGAAGACCGATGACCATGTGGTTCTGAACCTCAAGGGCAGGCCCTTCAAGATCCCGATCGAGCTGGTTGACGAGGTGCGGCTGTCCCAGAAGGATGAAGACCCCGCCATGCAGCCAGGCCCCAAGAGAACCAAGAAGAAATCGCGGAAGTGATTGATACATACGTGGCGCGGTGCGTGTCTGAGTGGTCTGTTCGAGCGAACGAAGAGCAGCTGTGTCGTGATGACTCTCGTCTCTGCTGTGCATGTTGAATCCTTGGTACTAGCTGAGGACCAGTGTCATTCGAATCAATCATCACATGGATGCGATGCATCCGATGCGTCAATCTGTACAAACAAATGCACCCATATCCCTCCCCTCACAGCCCCACCCACTCCCACACTACACAGAAACACCCACGAGAGCATAGCATCTCTTCATTGGCCTGGCCCGCCCATCCCATCGCATCCCCTGCTCGCTACTCCGGCGCTTCTTGCCTCCACACCTTGATCAGCCCATCGGCAGAGGTCGTCAACATGGCCTCCTTCTCAGCATGGAACCGCACTGTGAATATCGCCCCGCCGTGGGCCTTCTCGTGGTGCAGCAGCTTGGGGTTGAGGAGGTCCCACACGCACAGCCGGTGGTCTTCCGACCCGCAGAAGATGTGAGCGTCTGAGGGGTCGAGGACCGCCCTGACGCGGTACTTGTGGTTGGTGTGGCCGCGGTACGAGTTGAGCAGCTCACCCGTGCCCTTCTCCAGCAGACGGATAGTGTCGTCTAGACACGTCACCAACACACAGTTCTCGTCGTTGGACAACGTCACGCTGCAACAAACAGCGAAGAAGGAGCGATTTGTGCTGGCCGCTTGTCTATCTCTCTCGGTGTGTGTGTGTGTGTACCTGCCGATAGGGTGTTTGAGGTCGTCAGTGGTGAGCCTCCCCATCCGCACGTCGTACCGCCTCACTCGGCCATCGACGCTGCCCGTCAGGATCTCGTCGTCAGTCACACACAGACTGAACCAACGAACGAACGAAGGAAGAAACACAACAGCGATACAGAACCATGCGCCGCTGTCTGAGTGTGTGTGGCTGCTCACGCGGTGACGGAGTCCTTGGCCTCTTTGAGTATCTGGAGCGGCGCCCGTGTGTTTGACTTGAGGTCCCAGCACCGCACTGTCCTGTCCCAGGATCCCGTGATCAGCAACTCATGGCTCGAGTTGAACTCACAGCAGTTGATCTTCCCTGCATTGCAAGGCAATTAAGGTGGAAACAATCGATAGGATAGCTAATGGCTGGCACGGGAGAAATGAATGAGCTTCTGTGTGGTGGATGCGATGCGCATGTGGCGTACCTCACCTTCGTGTCCCGTGAGGCGCCGTATGACGTTGCCGGTGGCCACGTCCCACATGAAGCCAAACTTGTCCCCCCCGACCGACGCGAACTTGGCATTGTCGGGCGTCACCACCGCATCATTCACCTCGTGATTGTGAGGGCCTGACGCCACACACAGACACAGCGAGTGAACTGAACCCATGCATACATAGCATAGTGAGCGATGGCCTGCCTGCATGTGATGGGACTGACTGACTGACCCTTGTATTCCTTGATGAAGAGGCCTTTGTGTGGGTTCCACAGCCGCAGCGTCTTGTCCTGCCCACAGCTGAGGCAGTAGCTGCCGTCCTTGTTGAACCGCACGTTCTGCACAGACCCCTTGTGCCCTCGCAGCGTCGCGGTGCTCTTCCATGGCACGAACTCGCTGCTCATCGATGCATCACACACACACACACGCGATGGATGGAAGCGGCGATATGAACTCAAAGCCAAATAAGCACCAACTCCCAGAGATCTACGGGATCTAAGCCAGAGAAAGCGCTCAAGCGGTCAAGAGCGGTTTCAGCTCGAGAGAGCGGTTTCACGGAATGTCCTAAGCGGCCTGACGGCCAAGTCCCATGTCTTTCACGCACAATCAAACGACGACACGCAACAGGAATCACCCACGCACGCTCCACATGCACAGAGGAACCCAAGGAACACACTCACGAGGCCTCCAGACCGAAACCCACGGCCGTCCGCTGAATACGAGTCGTTTGCTGGACTAAGTCGTAGATCTGGCCGAGTTGTCAGAGGCTGCGTGTGTTGGGGTAGATCCCGCCGTGTAATGCAACTGCATGCTGAGAACCCTGAGCACTCCG